CATGATGTCTTCCCTCCTTCCATCTCACTTCCCCACATCAGGTGGTGTCTGAGTGGCCACCATGGAGACACTGAGTTGGGCAAACTTTTATTTATTTTTATTTTATTTTATTGTATATTGAGGTATATAAAATAAAATGCACAAATCTTACTACACAGCTTAATGAGTTTTTATATGTGTATACACTCAAACTGGGCAAACTTTTAGTTTAGGCTTAATGGGATATGTTATGTAGTTTGCAGTCACTTACATGTATAGTCAAACGAGTGCTAATAATTCTAGGTAGGAATAAGCTTTCTGCCCACAGTGCCAACTAACTTGGGTTTGTCACACAAAGGTTCATGTTTAGAGGTTGTATTGCAATTATAAAGCTCCTATCAGCAGGCACCAAAAATATATGGGCAATGGTGGGGCAATGGCAGGTGCAGCCAAAAGCTACCTGTGGAACATTCTTCCAGTCATCAGAAACGTAAAATTATGAGTGAAGAATTGGGTCCTCATTAGTGCCTAAGACTAAGCAAAGGGGAATTCTCTCCAGTAATGGATATACTTAATAGTGAAGTGTAGACAATTATAAACTCACAAAACATTTTTTTCTTTGGGATGAAAATGGTCTGAAAAATAATCAGTCACACTTCCTGTGTTTGTAGGACATAAGTCTATAGCAGAACTATAAACAGAGACTATGTCTGGGCATGAAGTCACGTTTTGCACATTCTAACTATCAATAACAAAAAATAAGAAATTCCAACCAATGATGCTAAAAAGGAAAGACTATTTTGCATTTTGATTACCTCTGTAAAAGATGATACTACAAAATTGTCACATAATATAATGTATGCAGCCAACAAGTGTAGTAAAAATTTACAGAAGTGATCCAGGCAGTTAACTAATAAAAATACCAAGTTTAAAAATTATGTTCAGAGCATTTATCAGCTCTTTCAAATACATTAATTGTTACCACTTATTTTATCTTTCGAAATAACATTCACTTTCTACCTACTTTCTTAAATATTCACTTTCTACCTACTTTTTCTTGGGAGATAATTCTCCATGGGTCTTTCACGTTTCTGCACATCTCGTCAGCAGGGCCACTGTCAGCTTTTGTTCCAGATGATCTTTTCAGGGATGTTTGTACAGTAAATGACCCTGGAAGAAGGCATCCATCTCCCTCAGGGCAGAGGGAGGATTGGTCTGCTGACCAGGGTACCAAAGACAGTGACCCCCTCCTGGCAAAAGTTGGGCACATTTGCTCACAGCCCCTTTAAAGACTGGGGATTCCCAAGCTTGCAGTTCCTCAGCTGCGATACAAACCCACCTGTGTGTGCAGCCTCCACCTGGGCCCGGGCCTGTGGCACTTCTGGGATTTGGGGGCAAAGGGACTTGAGGTGAATATTAAGTGCATGTCACCCATTATGCTGTCCTGTAAGAAAGTCATAAAATGCATCCTACTGTTGGCGGGAATGTAAATTGGTGCAATCACTATGGAAAACGGTATGGAGGTTCTTCAGAAAATAAAAAATATAACTATGATCCATCAATCCCACTTCTGGGTATTTATCCAAAAGAAATCGTTATCCTAAAAACGTATCTGCATCCCCTTGTTTACTGCAGCATTATTTACAATAGCCAAGATATGGAAACCATTTAAGTGTCCATCAATGGGTGAATGGACATTAACTATGAGTAATTACAAAAAGCACAAACCTCACAGTTAACTCTTCAGCTCACAGATCACTACATAAATACCAGTTGTGCATCATAATCAGTGACTACCCTCCCACATGAATAACAAGATGGACTCCCACCAAACTTTGCTATGGATGTCAAGATCAATGACACCATACCCATGCCAGGAGAATGTGTCTGTTATTTACATAATCAAAGCTTTCTGGAGAGAACAGGGAGGGCCTCCCAAGCCCATTTGAAAGTGGCTTGAGAGCAAAGGGAAGGAGACTGGCTGGGGGTTTATTGTACTCAGAGGGTGGGTTAGGCTAAGGGCTCCTGCACACAGGCAGAGGCTTGCAGGGTTTGAATCTCCCATCAGCAGCAAAGGGGGAACACCTGGGCTTTCTTATCAGCCTGCCCAGATGCAAGACCCAGAGAAAGAGAAAAGGTAAGGCATAAAAGATGTCAGGAGTCTCACATCAAAACTGGGGTTAGATCCTTATAACATCACTTTTCTCAAAGACTGTTGGTGATCATCACTTTGTGTGTTATTCAGGTCACACACAGACAGCAAAGGGTGCCTCCTTATCTCCCAGTGCCCAACTCAAGTGACATTTTATGAAAGTGGATGATCAAAAGAGGAAATTGGACAACACAGATGAAGTACAGCAAAGAAGTAAAAAATGATCATGCTGGAAATAAAGTTCAAATCTACACAAATGGAGTTACAGAGGGAATGGCTGAATGTGGGGCTGGAGCCCTGATGAATGTGGAGAGATTTTAGATGTGCAGACACAGGGCTCAGGGAAAGCAAGATTGTCAACACAGAGGAGCAAAGTAATTTTGACGAAAAGGACAAAGATGGCCAGAGGAAGTGATGCCAGCAAAAACCTTAACATTAAATGAACCTTTGGAGATATTTCATAATATTAAAAGTGCAAAGAACAAAATGTTGGAAGCTGATCCAAACAGAGAAAGGAATAGAACAGGTTACCATGGCATTGAAACAATGTCCACTCCTTATGAGTAAGTTATATGACAAGAATACAAGCACTCTTCAAGCTGTTGTTAATAAGTTTTTTACAGATATAAACCCTTTAATTCTCAATGTTTCTGATTTTTTAAGTTACAGTGTCCTAAATAAACACATTTTACATTTTTTTCATTTCCTTATACACTTATAACCAACAGTGTTTTCACAAAAATTTGTAAAGGTCACAGAACAGTAACATTTTCCCCCATTGATTATGAAGTTCATTTTGCACTGAGACTGCATGACCATTTTTATGATCTTTCAAGGTCATGCAAAGCAAGGAGTGCTTGTACTTATTTTACTTGACCAGCCTATAGTATTGGGCTCTTGATCATCCATAAATCTTTGTAAACCACAATCCTCCCTGCATCTCCATGACCCCATTATCTCCAGATTACTCTCTCCCTCCATTCCCAGGTTTCCTTGCTACCTGTCTTTGTTTGCCTACCTTTTGTGTATGGATGATCTCCAGATTCTACCCTCGACTCTTTGTCTTTTACTCTACATCCTCTTCCAGTTCTACTTTTTGTAAAAGTTGTAACTTCTCTGTTTTAGGTGTTGATGATGGTATTAAGATGACAATGAAGAAAAGAGGGCCTTGCAAAATGGTAGAGAGAGGACTTGGGGTGGAAAGGAAGGTAGGACTGCGGGTAGCCTTTTTCACAATCTGGATTTAGGACAGCTCTAGAAACCAAATAACTCTACCAATATGAGTATCTATAGAAACATCATTCATTCTTTCACAGACATATGCTGAATTGTACTATGTACTACATACTGGAACACTATGTATTGACAGAGAGTTTAAAGCAGTGCATATGGATTTTAACTATGCCCTCTGGAGGTACTATCCAATCTCTGCCCTTGAACCCATTAATTATTCTAGCGGAGAAAAATCACAGAGCTGCTTTATGGGGAACATACTTTATTCTGGACAAGAGGGTCTTCAGCCCTACAAGCCATTCCACACTCATTGGCTTGTTCGGACAGGCTCTGCTATAAATCAGAACAAACCTAATTACAAAGCTTCAGATTACCTTTGCAGATGTGTCTTTCTTTGTGCAACTGCAGTAGTCCTGAAAAGTTGTGAGCAAATCAGTTTAATTCCTTACCTTTACATAGTGAGTTATGGTTTACAAGAGGCTGACCTCTAGTTGACTTTTCCTGACAATGCTAAACAGCAAGAGGGCTCAGTACACTTCATTCCTGTAAGAAGAGTAGAGAAATTCACAGCTCAGAGGGGTTCTGTGATTTCAAGTGGTTGAGCTGTGTTTGAAATAATAGAGATCTGATCATATTTTACATATCCGAAGAACTACTAAAAAGTCTATTGTGATTTCTTTGGGAAAGCTAAGAATTATCTTTTAAATGTAAACGTCCAATTTACTTTGTGGGCAATGCTAGATTTTTACGAATCAGGTTTGTAGATAAACATCCACATGTACTCTGCATTACTAAACCCAGTTCTAAATAAAACTGAAATTTAGTAGGTTACTGTGATCATTCTCTGCAAATGTGCCAGCTCCTATCATATTTAGAACCCTGTGTCCTGAGGTGCTCAAGTTCACACTGAGGAATTTGCTAAACAAATCCCTGGAAAGGAATCAGAGCAGTGATTTTCTGTATCCTTAAACCCTCTCAACTGCGAACGGCAACACACTACCCGAGCCCATAATTCCCAAACTTCTGGAGTTCCCTCTTGCAGTTTCTTACTAGTGTTTGAGTTTTAACTCACTCGCTTCCCCAAAGGAGCATGCTATTAATCTGTTTTAAAAGTTAAACGAAAAAAAACTCTTGAACTTTTAATGAAGCAGCAGTCTGGCATAAAAACAATCTCGTGAGTTTCCTGTGGAAAATGGAAGGCAGACAAGGGAAAGACAAAGTCTACCTCGCAAGCGGGCGAGCAGGCCAGGCGGGAGCCCCGCGCTGCGGGCGGGACGGCGCCGGCGGCCCGGCGACCTGAGAGCTCGCGGCCCCGCGGGGTGCGCGGCGCGGGTCTGAGCGGCTCATCTGGAGAGTGTAAGGGGGAGACTGCTACTAAACTGCCTGGTGTTCGGGGACTGCACTCCATTAAAGCAGGGAAATGAGTAGTGGAAAAGGAGGGAAAGGACGGAGGAGAAGGAATATAAAACATCCGCGGAAACGGAGGGTCAGCCGAAGCGGCGGAGGCGAGTGGAGGGCATAGAGAAGCGGCGGCGCGGGCTGTGGTCCTCCCGCCGGCAGGGGGCGCGCCATCCCGTCCCGCGCCCTCCCCACCTCCTCCCCAGCGGCCGCGCCTGCGCTTCCTGCCCCTCCTCGTCCGGGATGCTGCTGCCGCTGCTGCGGGGCGGCTGCTTCCCGTCCTCCTCTCACGGCGGCGGTGGCGGCGGCGGCGGTGCGGACGCGGGAGGAGGGGGCCGGCCTGCGGCGCAGCTGCAGCGCGGACGCTGCGGGCCGCCGGGGCCTGTAGAGCTGCCGGACGCCGAGCCCGGGGCTAACGGCCTGCGAGCGGCGGAAGCCGAGGGGGCGGCGGAGCCCGGGGCGCGCGGCGGAGCCGGGCGGGGGCCGCATGCGTGCATGGATCCGGGCGCCGCGCTGCAGAGGCGGGCCGCGGGCTCCCCAGCGCTGTCGGGCGGCCAGGCGCGCCGAAGGAAGCAGCCCCCCAGGCCGGCCGACTTCAAGCTGCAGGTCATCATCATCGGCTCCCGCGGCGTGGGCAAGACCAGTCTGATGGAGCGCTTCACCGACGACACCTTCTGCGAGGCCTGCAAGTCGACCGTGGGTAAGGGCGCCGTGGCCCGGTCCGGCGTCCCGGCCAGGCACTCCCTGCGCGTCCGTGGGCCCTCCCGCGCCTCTTCTCCGGCCCGGTGACCGTGCGTCTCGGGATGGTCCCCGGGGGCGCCCCGCGCGGCCGGACCGGCCTTCAGTGCGCCGGGCATCCCCGCGCCCCCCCACCGTCCAGGGCAGCTCAAGAGACAGGGTGGTACATTGGTGTCGTTCGGCCCCGAGGCAGTGCCCATCTGCCCTCGGAAACTACCGGCCTTACGTTAGTCGCCAGGACAAGAGGGACGCGAGGTGCGAGCCAGGCAGTGGAGGGAAGCCGTGCCCCTGGTAGATGGCCTAAGTGGGTCATCTCTACCGAATTGTAGTGCCTTTACTTTGCCTTGCGGGAACCAAGGCTTACTTTCTAATTTTGAGCTCACTTTTATGATGTGCTGAAATAATGAATAGTTTAGCAGTCTCCGTGGACGATCTGTGGGGAATATTAAAACTGAAATTACACTAAATTTCTTGTTTGAACTATAAATGCGGGCAGAGGGACTCAGTTGTATTTGTCCGTGACCTCAAATAAACCAGGGATGCACAGAAGTGGGGAGGATTCCTCCAGCACCACCCGTGGGTGAAGTACAAGAGTGAAGTATGTGCAGATACATATAGTCTTTCCAGCTCAGTAAGTACTATGCCCTCAGGACCTAAAACTGAAACTCTACAGGAAGTTTTTATGAAGAAGTTAATTGTACAGACTTGGCATTGAAGTTTGTTAGGTCCATATGGATAACAGTTGTTTCTATGGAAAATCCCTTAAAAGCTGTCAAATCTAGGGAAGCCCATAGATGAGATGGTTCGCCTTCAGTGATAGGCAATGAGGGATTTCCCCAGAAGAAGTGCAAGAAATACCGAGTAACTTGAAATACAGAATTTAAAGTATCATTCTACATACTTGTATATATGTTTTGTATTGTAACCAACAAAACAGTACTACAATTTAAGTCTTATTGGAAAATTAAACCCCCAAATTTTTTATTGCCTTTCTTGTTTTTTTTTTTGAGAACATGTTTTCCTTAAAGGTTTTCTTGTGAAATAGGTCATTTTGGAAATATCTGTGCTTTCTGTTCCTTTTATCTGTTCTTAAAATGTTGGCCTAGGGACCAGGATATTAAATTTTAGTAGCATAGCTATACCTGTTTTAAGTATCTAATCTTGGATCATAGAGTATAGGGAGTTACTAAACCATCAAATGAGGTTCATACTGGTTATATTTTAGTACCTGATGTAGAGTTAAAAGCATTCAGGAGTATCACTCTTTTACGGCTCCATGCTTAAAAATACATGAAAATGAGGGAGAGTATAATTGTACCATGTGATGGAATGAAATCAGCACAGGCCTCCTAGAGGGCTTGTGTAGAGGAGGGTGAGATGGGAGGTGAGCAAAGGTGTGCCTTAGAGCGGGTTGAGGAGACACGAGGGAAGGGTGCTGTAGGCTGGGCCGCACTGGGGCATCACTCCCACTCCCCTGGCTAAGGGCTCAGCCTCACGAAACTGCCCTTCCCCAGGTCGGAGCCAAGTGCAAGTCCCTGTCATATGTGCTTCTGACTGACCAGCTATAGACACGGTTCCCACAACCACCTCCTTGGATTTGATTAACTTGGCTGGAGTAGTTCACAGAACTCAGAGAAACGTTTTGCTTACTAGGTTTCCAGTTCATAATGAAAGGACAATTCAGGAAGAAGCCAGAGCGTCTCTGCTCTCTGAGCTCACTGCTCTCCCCAAGTGTTCCCATAGTCACCAACCAGGAAGCCCTCTGAACCCCATACTGTGGGTTTTATGGATGCTTCTTTACATGGGCATGGTTGATGAAATCACTGGCTGTTGGTGACTGAGCTCAATCTCCAGCCCTTCTCCCCTCCTTGGAAGCAGGAGGTGGTTGGGGCAAAAGTTCCAGTCCTCTATAATCACATAGTTGGTTCTTCTGGTGATCACCCCACATCTTTAGGTGACCTAGGGGCACTCCAAAAGTTGCCTCATTAACAAAAGACCCCTTTGTAGCCCTTCGCAAGAAATTCCATAATTATAAGCCACAATTTCACACCCACATGCTGGGGCAGACTCACTGGTGGACATGGGGAATGGATTCTCCAAGACCTCGGCTGCTGCACTAAGGAGCTGGACCTTACCCTCTAGCTGGAACTGTAAAGGCCTCTGAGAGCAGCATTGGCTTGGAGACAGTGAAACTGATTTGGCAGGGTCACATAGGATTATTGGGGGTGCTGAAGAAACATGGAGATCAGTTTGCCTCTCTGTCCCCTTAACAAACAAATCCACATGCTTACATCTGCACATACTTCCCACCGCTGCCACGTGGGGTTCTTTGTGTAGTTGGATTTTTGTCTTGCTCTTTTTTGTTTCCAACATAAGTAGTACTTGGCTCAATATCTATGTTTTAATTGTGGAAAGTTCAGAGAATGTTGATAACCTGTATCTGATCCAGAGTATAAAGACACTTTAAGAAAGCTAATGAGCCCCCTTCAATCTCTGCCTCTGAGTTGCTTTTTCCTTTCCCAAGTTGCCAGTGATTTCATCAGTCATTCTCAACCATCAACCACTTATCAAAACTTTGAGCACCCAGTGGGTGGTTGTAGTGGAAAGCAGGTCATGACCTCTGTCCAGGGCCTGTGGAGGACAGAATGAAACAGGTTGGTAACTGCAGAGGCATATCTGGGGACCCAGTGGAAGCCCCTCCAGGGCCATGGGTACCCAGTGGAAGCCCCTCCAGGGCCATGGGTAGCATGAGGGCGAGTTGTGGAGGCTGCCTCCTCATTGGAATGCTATAAGGATAAATTCATTCCTCAAGATCCTTTTAGAAAAATGCTGTTTAAATACAGTGCTGGGTGTGGTACAGAATTGTGGTTGCCCCACCTGAATACCTACCTTCTGAGTTTATAACTAATTGTCCTGAGGCCAGTTTTTTTGAGTTTCATTTCCATGTAGTACATACAATTAGCTCTACAAAGAGAAAGATTCTCTTCCACCGTGGCACTTGCCCTCACCCTGTCCAGGCTTGCAGACATGTGCTGCTCATGACAGCAGAGTCTGAAAAAGACTAGCCCCAGAGCATGGCCAGAAAGAGCTTCTGCGCATGCACCATCCAAGGTGGGTCACTAAAGTGGTGGCCCCATGTAATTCTGAGGCTGCAAAGGGGTGTCTCCTATAAGTGCCTTTTTACACTGAATCAGACTCAGTTGAACTTTCTGTGAAAGAGCATAGTGGAAAACCCAAGGAATATGTGATCATAAACCTACTTAGCAAAATTACAGATGAGCACAATGTTAATTTTTTGTGTTTTGTATTGTTAATCAAATCAGAAGTTGATTTGGTTTGGAAGACACAAAATTCACCAGGGTAGAAAACTTAGAAGTCTGTTTTTCATAATTGACCTATTTAATGGAAATTGTCTAGGTGGAGTATTATTTTCAAGTGGGATTTTGTGTTAATGGAATTGAATTATTTAGTCTGATAACTACGTAATATGAAAGGTTCCTAAAAAATGCTGGAGCAGCTTTTTCAGGTTTGAGAAATGGAAAGAAACTAGTAGTAGAAATTTACAACTATGTAATACACACACAAAAAACAAATGCATAAGTTATATATTTGTCAACCTTTATTTTATTTCTATATAACTATTGGAAGCTAGCTATTTAATTTTATCTGGATTGAAATGGTTTTACCAGGTAGCACCTGCTCCAGGGGCATTGCACTCTAGGAAAAAACACTGCAGTAAAGATGTGGAGTCTGGCTTTTGATTTAGGCTTTGCCACTAACTAGTTTGTGACTTTGGATAAGTAGTTTAGTTGTCTGTGCATATAAAATATAACATTCCATTAGCTACTCCATATTGAGCACTGTGTACCAGCAAAAGAGACATTCTTTCTAATCCTTACAACAATCCTGAGAGCTATCCCCATTTTATAGATGAGGAAGCAAAAGCTCAGAGAGGTAAACCGTTTACCCACAGGTGATTAGCAAGTGGTCAGGGCCAGAGCTGCATGTTCTTTCCAATTAGCTATCTGTTTCTTGGCTTACTTTGAGGTTTAAATTTACTTTGCTTTGTGAAAATTCTGATGACTCAAAATCAGACACAGTGAAGACCTTTCCTGCCTATAGAATTTGGTCCTCCCTGTAGCCCTGTGAGGATAATCATTGATCTATGAATTCATGAGAATAACTTTTTTTATGCCCCTATCATTGCTTGTCACTTGCCTTCTGGATATTATAATAATGCTCTGAGAATTGGATTTCTTACCTAAAAATTCAACCATTCAAATACCTGAAACCTTTTACACATTTATTAAAATCTTCCCAAATCTGGCATATTTGAACAGAGGGATAGTCAGAGTAAAGCAGTCTAAACTAGAATTCTGATTTTTCTGGGCAGTAAAATATGTACCAAAGTGTTGGAGGCCCACAGAGAATTGTCAGTTCTTTCATTTACCAAGTAAGGACACTTTAAACTCCACTACCACCAACTTAAAAAAAAAGAAAAATTAAAATTAAGTACTCCCCCACCCCCACCCAAAATTAGGAAAGACAGAATATCCAGTTTAAAAAGGTCTTTAAATGTGCTTCTGAGAACCTCACCACTGTGCCCTTTTTTTTCATTCTGTATCAGTGCATTAAGCTTCTTCACAGGTCGGGCCCTGGAATAACTGGTCATAGAGATGATGGCACTTTGTGGAAGCCCAGTGTTCATGCACTTACAGCCATCATCCCTGTGTTCTGTTTGCTGAACTCATGCCTTGGAGTCCAGTGTTGAGTTGAGGGTGCATTCAGGATACATTTTATCAGGAAGCAGGTGACTGTAAATCCCCTTCAGAAGGGACCGTCTGTGGGTCTGGCCTTGAATGTTAGGTGACATGGCAGATGAATGCAGTCTACGAGTGCCTGGATGCCTTCATCTAGCATCTGTGGAAGCACTGGCCAGGAAAATTGACTTGTACTAAATTC